GATTTGAATAGCACAGTATAGATTAAACAAGTAGTACTGCAACCATAGGCAATTAGCTGAGCCTACACTTTGAAATGTTGACAGGAGGAAGTTGCACATAAAAACGGGATTCATGGAGCCAGTGTTTGTTGGGCAATTTCATCACTACTAGAAGTGAGAGAAATTCTCTTTTTTATTTTATTGTTTGACTGCAGCCCACCCCTCAATGTTTTAGTAGATACTTTCCCAATAAAGAATAATAAATAAATTATAATAGAGAAACAGATGTTTTGTGCTGTTGAACATACAAACACGAATGTAACATATCCCTGTCTTAAACCGGCATGTCTCACCCCCACACCCCAGTGACCTTGAACAGGATAAGCACTTTACGATTGTATGCAGAGAACCATTCAAACAAATCCTTGGGTTTCCAGTAATTGCACAGACACAAGTGGCACGAATCTGAAGGTGCTCTCAGTAAAATGTAGCTTTTTACTTACACCTGGTGGCAGCTGTGGGGAACTACAACATGGACAAACCGTGTCTCCCTGATGTTTATTGAGAGCAAATTTCTACTTGCTTGGAAGGCTGAGCTGTATTCAGATGGTTGCAATCTGTAGCTTCACCACTGAATGCCACTAAATCCTCCACACTGCTCCTTTGTGAAATAGTACACAGATTAAGAGAGGCTGCATATCCACCACAGAGTAATTCAGGCAAGGTGACACCACACTGCAGGAGCTAACAGTAAAGTATTAAGTTACATTCAAAGTTTTGTCTACATAGAAATAGTTTATGTATAAATTGATAGCAGTTCAGCAGATAGAAACAGACACTATGAGATTATTACTGGATTGTGATGCTGTGCCGTGCTGACGTTTGCTATGTCTTTTAAAACAACGTCAGCTACTTTTACGGCTGATTTTGGCTCCCCCCCGTGCAACAGGTAGAAGAATAAAATTAGTTGAATGATCAGGAAACATCATAAAAGGGCCAGTTTTCAGTTGTGGAGGAGATCCTTCTCATATCAGATCACTTTAACATATGGCTAAAGGCAGCAATGTTAATGGCTTTCATTTTTCATTAAAAATGTGTCATTATCTTTTTCAGTGTCTGCAGGGGTGCTGACAGAGACATTTGGACATGAACTTACGAAAAGTTCTCCAACTAAACAGAAGCTTCTCGTCATCCAACCAGACACACGGGATATCATTTCTGGGGAGACGGGGAAGTTTGTTTGCCCGTTGATCCTCAAGCCAGAGTCTCCAGCTCCCAAACTCGAGAGTTCAGAGAAGCCCGTTCAAGCCGAGCCTCAACAATCCTGTGTCAGCACCGCTAAGGGCACCGCCTACAGTCCGTCCCCATCTGATGGAGCCGTGACTCCAGCTCAGGCCGGGGTTTGGGAACGGATCCACACGCCAAAGGAGACAAAGAACAATCTCCACATGAAACTGAAACTGACTTCTCCAGACCAAAAGCTGATGCGTCCCTGCACGGTGGAACTGGTGAACATGCTCACAGTGCCCAAGTCGGACACGAAGCTTCAGGGTGATGTTGCCAAAGGCCATGATCCCCAGCAAAAAAGTGGTAAGCCCCTGCCCAAAGATCTCCGCCGTCACCAAGGTCTTCACACAGGCCATCGCCTCTGCTGCTTCACCCCCTGTGGAAACGGCGTTTGGCGGCTACAGAAGGTGGTCACGCACACCCGCGATGGATACCCATGCAGCATCTGTGGGAAGACGTTCAAGCGTAGGAAGATTCTCCGACGGCACGAGCGCTTTCACACTGGAGAAAAACCATACTCGTGTTCGGCGTGCTCGAAGACGTTTGCACTGAGGAAGAGCCTCCGCCGTCACGCGAGGTTCCACACAGGGGAGAGGCCGCACACCTGCACGCAGTGCAGCAAAAGCTTCCGTCTGAGAGACAATCTAAAAGCACACCTGAGGTTTCACACTGGAGAGAAGCCTTTCAGCTGCCCCACTTGTGGGAAGATGTACAGGATCATGAGGAATCTGGAGAAACACCAGTGTGAATTCTTTGTTCCTTCATTCAGGATGATTGCTGGCTTGTAGCTGTGGGAAAGTGGTTGCGCCGTTTCCTACCTCAGTCATACAAGTCGAGATAAGAAAAGCTATGAGAAACAGAAACCATGACCCAGATTGATTGATTCCCGACACTCATTCCCGAAAGAGATGACAGATACTAAGGGGGAACCTTTTTTTCTACTACTGATGGTTTTGTCTTGTTTTTCCGTGTTTCTTAGTCTTTGCCATATTTTGTGGACAAATAGTGGAACTGTGTGCAAAAGTAGTACAACCATTTGACACTTTTTAGCATTAAACAACATAGCATTAAGAAACACATGATCAACATCAGTTAATCACAGTTAACCAGGCATACTACATACAGCTGCTCCTTGGAGATTGTTGTCTTGTAATTGGGTTGAAACGCATTAGTAACATTTTATGCTTTTATTTACAGATAGAAGATATCTGGTGATGTCTGGTGGGGAAAAATACAGATCCTCACCTGCCAACTATTCTTGTGTTAAAGTTATATATAACGTACTTCCACTGATGTTTGTTCTTGATGTCTGTTCTTTTTATTGTATGCTTTTTTTAACTTTACACTCTCTTGTGGAAAAGGCGTTTGGTTTTGTATTCATGTTATTTTTACTGAATGTATGTAGACTTCTTTCTTTGTGTGCTTTATAAGACTTGCTTTAATATTGAAATACTTTATAAGTGTACATACTGTCAAACAAATGTGATCTCATCTTCTCTTTTTAAACAGTTTTTTTTTTAAAGTATTTTATATTCCATAATACATATACTCTGCAATGACAAATGTCTGTGTCCATCTTTTTAAACTTTTGATGTTAAATAACATTTTTCTTTTGTATTAATAAAACAAATCATGTTTGTATGTATATCATTTGGTTATTGTGTTACATGGACCATCAACACACTACGTTCAGTATGGAGCATGGGTATGACTTTCTAATAAAGCACCTGATATAAAAGGTTTAATAAGTTGTAACTAATGGCTTAATAGTTAAAGTTACTGTAACAGTCTGGACTGTATTTACTGGGTTACACTGCTGATGTATTAATTGATACAGTATAGATAATACATTTATGGTTACACTTGTGCTGTGTGTTTTACGTAAAATTGACATATTCGTGAACCGACATCATTGAAAGTAATGCTAAATTAGCCATTTTGTTTTCGCTGTAACAATGGATGGAAGTTACGGACAACAGTCATAAACTGCTTCCTAGTGTTCTGGTGAGGCGAGATAAGGAGAGTATTATTATGTGACTTGTGAGCGGATTTATGGGCCGTTAATGTCGCTGGAGACACGGTGGAAATATACTGCGTTATGTTTTTATTCTCTCTTTGGCTCGAGAGGAAGAGTGGGTGCGACTTCAGACAGACATTGTGTTTACATTACTCACCGTTTAAGATAGTGTTACACACACACACACACACACAGAGAGAGAGAGAGAGATAGTTACACACAGCTGATACCAGTCAGGCTGATTGGACTGACAGCCGGAAACTCAGGACTGCACTTTGACCGCTTTTAATGACAAAAGATGAATAAAATAAAGGACTATTTACCGGTCAGTAACCACAACAGATTGTAGTAGCTGTTACCAGGGTAATATTATAAAGCCTCAGAGGAGAATCAGTGTTTACTCAACATGTATCGATACAAACGTTGTAGTTTTTACATTTTTTTTAAATATGTAATATTGATATTTGATTTTGCAATCCTGTATTTAAATTAGAAATTGATGTGTGTCATATTTAGAAGTTAGTCTCGAGCGTCCTCCTCGTAGGCCCCGCCCCACCAGGAAGTACACATAAAGCCAGCAGTACTTTCACTTTAGTAATGTGCGAACGGAAGACAGAGCACCAGCAACACGGAGGCTTTTACTCAGCTCTAAAGGTATGAACCCTTTTAATGATGAGCTCCTGCGAATCATTTTATATCACATCATTCATAACAAACGTAATAGGCAGTGTTTTTCCAGAGGCTGCTGTACTAACTGCAGTTAACTCCGTCCTGTGTGCTGCTTTCAGGCTCACTCGCACTCTTTAAGAAGAGGTCAAGAATGGAAGATCCAGAGAAAAGGCTTGCGGAGATGCTGACCTGCCCAGTGTGCCAGGACACCTTTAAGGATCCTCGGCAGCTGGCCTGTGGACACAGCCTGTGTATGGAATGTCTGGAAAACATGATAGATCATTCCTCAGACATTCCCTTCCGTTGCCCAGACTGTAGGGAATATTTTGGACCATACATTGGGGTACAGAAGAGCTACACACTAGCCAGCATTGCAGAGGACTTCAGGGAGAAGAGGAGGAGGAGGGTACCTATTGGCTCTTTTTTTCAGTCTCTTTATTAATGCCACTTAAAAGATGTAGAGAATAAACTTATAGCTGTGGAATGTAAAACTGATCCTAAAACTAGATAAATATCTAACACACCTTTTCCCACATCTCAATGTCCAATTTTTGTAAACAGGACGAGCAGACAAAAAGTGTGTACTGCGACTGCTGCCTGGCGAAACAAACTCTGGCCATTAAAACGTGTCTGAAGTGTGAGGTGTCGCTGTGCAAAGAGCACGTCAAGGACCACCTTGAGCTGCCTGTGTTCACGGGACACCCCTTGGTCAGGCCTCTGAATGACCTCCAGGAGAGGAAATGTCCGCAGCATGAGGACGAGGTGCTGAGGTACTACTGCAACACATCCAGACGCTACATCTGCAATGTGTGCGCCCTGGAGAGCAAGCAACAAAACCAAGCCACTGAGGCCTCCGCTGTCCTGCGGAGACAGCTGACTGTGAGTTTTTAATAGCATTCTTTAATACTGTATTACACGGGTAATTATAATATCAATGAGAAAACTCCGGTTGGATTTGTGAAGGGACATTGTCATGGCAGCGGTTTCTTGTAAACAGAGTGGGAATTTCCTGTTGCTGGCTGTGCTGGGTAGAAACAGGATTTTCAGGTCCCTGAGAATCTTAAAACTCCCCATTCATTCAATCCTTAACCTCTTAAGCCCCATGGATCAGTCATAACAAATTATTATAAAACTGCAGAAAACTTTTTTTTATATGTATGTAGATATGTAAGTGGGGTTGAACTTCTTGAAATGTGTATAAAATGACATAAAAATTCAGGTTTAACAAAGAGCTGCAAAAAGCTGATGCAGCGTATTTATGTTACTGTCAGAGTGTAGAATAAGATGCTTTTTTTTACCCCCGCTTAAAGCTACTTGAGTTGTTAAAAGTATAACTGTGTGTGCATTCAACAGGAGTACATGGACCAGCGTTTTGAAATGCTAAAGGAGCAAATGAAAGAATCCAGTCAGTCTGTAAAAAAACTACAAGAAGACATCCTACGAGAAGTATGCTCTGTTTACTAAATTCTCAGTATCTGTGATTGTAAAGGGTCTAAATTGTGTTTATTTTTCTGATCTAATATGTATTTTCCTTCTGCCAGAAACAGAAAGTGAACCCGGCCGACTCCCCCCTCAACAGTGTGACAGTGGTGCTGCTCTGTCTGTGGTTTATTGTTCTGTATTATGGTAAGAAAATGCCAAGCCCTAGTGTCGTCTATGTCTGTGTGTGTGTGTGTGTGTGTGTGTGTGTGTTGGTGTGAAAATTCACTCACTGATGTATATTTTTCCAACCAGCCTACAACTACTCTGTAGAAAACCAGACGCTAACAGAGGCGCTGGACAAGCAGCAGAACCGTGTGCATCACATTTATTCCACCATTGCAGGTAAGAGGGCAGGTTTCAGATCCACTACTGTCCGCTCACACAACTACAACAAAAACCGGGAACTCAGCAACATGTGATTTAATGATAATAACCCAAGATTAAGCTTAGCTTAACATGAAGACTGAAGGCAGGGGGAATAGTCTGATGGTCGTACATATAGTAGGAACTATCCATCTCCATTCTTAGTACTGATTACATTTGGGTTTTTTTTGTTGTTTTTGTCCGATCTGATGCTCCAGTTAAATGGCAACCTACTTAAGAACTCATTCTTTTTCATTCTTGCTAATAACTTGTATGTAATCCCTACACAGAACTGTTGGTTGATCATCCAGTGAAGAGCCATAAACCTGCAGAGACAGAAGATCAAGGTACAAAATGAAATGTTCTAACACTGGGTTGGCAATCAAAGAGAACTACTGTGTGTTTGTCTTGGAAGATGCAGACTAGCCTGATGGTTGTGCTATAAATTTGAGCTGGAGATAACTTGTGCCTCGTTAGTGTGACGCTGACAATGTGTCTGATGTCATCCAGGTTTCTGATCGTCAGCATCGTTTCTTGCTTTAATAGTTGGATGAACTTTGGTTTCTGGCTGCCTGAAACACACTTATCTTCAGTTATTGAAGATGAAAACAACAATAAAATGATAATTTGCATTACTACTGTTAGACTCATTTTATCTACACCGTTGTTACATTGCTAATCAAATTATTTTTCTCAATTGTTGCACCTGCGAGCATGGCAAAGAAGGATCAGAAACCTGGATCAGTGTCTGCATTGCCACAGTATCTCAGTTAATGATTAAGCTTGCATGTTTCTCAAAACTGGCGTATGGGCTTGTCCAGGTTTCAGAAACCAGAATGTGGTGTCTACATGCACAGATATATAATGGGGACACTCCAAAGACCCAATCTTAACAGGGACATTAGTGTGCATTTAAATGCACTGATTGTTATGCTGTAGTTATGCTTGTAGTGTCTCAAATTCACAGACTACAGAGCAATATGTATGTAAAGTTATCCAACATTAGCCACCATACGCTCATGGCTATAATAGACTAAGTCAGTAGTAGTCTAGAACTAAGTCTAGCTTATTAGCACTTCAATTTAATTAATGGGCATGTATTATAAATTGGGAATAGCATCAAAATTGTGTATTGAACCCAAACGGTCTGTGTCTGATTTTCAGAAATGCTCATGTTGGATCTGGACACAGCCAGCCCTTTCCTTGGAATCTCCACTGACCTCCAAACAGCAGACAGAGTGAAAAACAAGATAACCTATCCCAACAGCAAGAACCGCTTTGATGAAGCCCCACAGGTCCTCTCTTCCCGGTGCTTCTCCACCGGTAACCACGTATGGGAGGTGGAGGCTGAGGGCTACTGGGACATTGCCGTGTCCTTCAAGAGCATCCAGCGTAAGAGCAAGTACAACAGTGCCTTCGGAAACAACGCACACTCCTGGAGCATTATGCACAATGGCCAAGGAAAGCTGTTTGCCTACCATAACAGAGAAAAAACAGTTATCTCTGAAACATTGCAGAGCAGCCGAATAGCAGTTATGGTTGATTTTGAGAAAGGCACCATCACATTCAGTGCGGTGAAGTCCAAAATCACACAACTGCACAAGTTCAAGGCTGAACTGACTCAGCCCTTGTGCCTGGGTTTGGGGCTGTACCGTGTGGATCCACCCAGTAGAGCCACTATTGTGAAAGCTTCATGAATAATCAACTATCACAAACTATCTAAATTATCACAATATCCAGCCAATACTGGATTCACACTGTCTTAAATCCTGCTATAATGAACGAGAACTAAAACTGGCTTGCACTAAAAGTGGAATGGTCTAAGAGTAAAGACCTGACTAAATCAAAGCCAAAAAGATTTGCCTCAGGAATATATTTTTATATTGAAAGGTGTTTCAAAGTATGTATAGTATGAGTGATTCATTGATTTATTTTCCCTTTTATTGTGAATCTTTATTTTACTTTAATATATTGTAGTGTTTTATACAGAGTGATTATATATGTGGGTGGGCTGGAGTGATTTCTGATGTTTTTTTTTTAATAGAAAATGACGACAGAACTATGATATACTGCAAACTGCAAATGCCAAAATGTATCAAAGTAGAGAAGAGTCATATAGAATAGATAGTCAGCAAACTGACAACAATGTCTATGTAAAGGTTGCAAACATTAACCACCATGAGCTACTGGTCCTAGCAGACCAAACCAGGCAGGCTTTTGTTACGGAAGTTCCACCGTGTTGCTTTAAGAGATGAAAAGGAGGAAAATCACTTGATTGAGCAAAATGCTCATTTATTAAGAAAACATTGAAGTTGAGCTTTTTTTTTAAACAGCTGACAATGATCTCAACAGAATGTTTTAGAAAAAAATGAAGGCAATATTAAACCTAGAAGGCCACTGTAGTGCCACGGTACAAAAACAAGGTATACACTGATACGAAGTGTTTCTCCACTCCATATTTCAGCTAAATAAGTTGTTTCTCTTGCTTATTGGAAGGGGCATGAAACACCAGAACACTTCAGAGCATGAATTACAAATCAAACAGTGAGAACTGTACAATTATGTCTTAAACTGCTGTAAAAAGGTCAAAATGTTGATCCTTTTTGTGAGAGCGTTTTGAGAAACACTTTTCCAACAACAAATAAACTGACCTGTGTGGGCTTTAGTAAAAAAAATCTAAGAACACCATTATCTTGACCAACTTAATACTTAATTGTGCTGATCTCTTCTCTAGCTGCCTTAAAGTTCCTTGATGCCTGACTAAAAGCTGAAACAATAATCAAATGTAACACTTGAGAATAGTCTGTGTGTCCTGAACAGCAACTTTTAAATCTACAGTACATGTACAAAACAACGAGGGAACTACGACACTGCGCTGAAATCCACCTTTGACGTTTCTGTACCGCACCAGTTCTGCATCTGTCCTTCGACCATTAACACTCGAGCTTAGTGAAAAACAAGTGTTCTGCTGATGTGAATGGTAGCGGCTGCTCTTTATTTCACTGTTGCCATCGTCTGATTCTTGATTGAGCACCACGCCCTGAATATATCTCTGAAACACAGAAAATATTAAGTTCAGAAGAGTTTTCTAACGTCTGCTGGAACAAAATGTAAACAGGTGCATGTTTCAAACCTCTACACACCTGCAGTGAGTGGCCACACATTCGTTGCTGCAGTATTCTCTGTCCCAGTCGTCACTCTCTACGGCCGGGTTGTTGCAGCCCACCCTCACGCACACACTCCTCATAGTTGTAGAATCACTGGACCCATTCACCTCCATCTCATCCTGGAAAAAGGAGGACAGGTGTTTTCTGTACACTTATCTAGGCTTGTCACAGTAGTTTATAATATTACACCGTGTAATTTTCTCCAAAACATTGTATGGCACAGTGACAGCAAAAGTAAGAGTAGTAATAAATTATGCCTATATATTTTATATATACTTTATATCATAGTGGATGTAAATGAGACACAACATAACTGACAACATAACTTTTCTGAAAAGTCTGTGTGAAACTGGCCAAGCTGCGTCATTTTGCATGAGCTGTGGAGTGAACAGCAATTTTCACTACCCCAGATGTCATGTGAGTGTTTTCAGTTGTGGCTTTGTCTTTGCCACTCTGCTATAAAACTGGTGAAACCCACTAGGCAACAGTGTTTCTGTGCGCTGCGGCTCCCACACCTCAGCCATGCACACGCACACATAGACATTTCGGAGCTGACATAATCCTCCTGGTGGTGAACTCTTCACACAGTCTGATTTACATGTTTACATGCTGTGCCATAGTCTTTCCATATTCTAATGAATGACATGACCATATACTGACAGATTTGTTAGGATTGTTTCTTTGTCTTCATGGTGTTGAATCTGATTTGAACTAACCAAATGTTTGACCTTTCAGTTTCAGGTGTCTACACCTGAAATAACAGGTGATTTCCATTCAGCTTCTGAAAAAATACATATGGACTGTACCAGTTTTGATTGAGATTTGTTACAGTATAAGTACTCATGGTGAACACTTATGCAATAATTTGAGTTCTATTTGTAATTCATTTAGACCAATTTTTGGATTTTTCATCTTGATATTTGAAAAACATTTACACACAATTAAGTAAATCTTAATTACATCCACTCTGATTCGATGCTGTTCTCTTGTCAAACAGAAAATGTCAAAGATCCAGCAATCTATGTTAAAACTTTGACCCACTTCAAGAACTGAAATAATGAAAATGAGGTCAAATCATCAACAACCACATCAAGCTGAGGCTCCAGGTTCAACTAAATCACAACCAACAATAGCACTAAACAACATTACCTCTTCTGAAGGCAGCACTTCTGTAACTTCATCCTCGTCTGTATTGCCCGGCGTGTCAGAGTTCACCACCTGCACTGACACCAGGGATGCAGACTGGGCAGTGGGCGCAGCAGATGACACAGACACTTTATTGGGGACAATAATTGGCAGGGTGTCTTTGCCCTGCAAGGGGGCAGGGACTATTTTTATCTGGAGTGGAGGAGGCGGTGTAGCCATGACGGACACAGGGAAACCTGGCGTGGTGGTCCCCTCGCGGGGCTTGGCCTGTAGGGGTGGAGGTGCTGGCGCCATTTGCTGTAGCCGTGGTGGAGGCGGTGCATTCTGCATCTGCTGCAGCGGAGGTGGCTGACGAGAGGCGCCCGACACTACCAGCGTAGGCTGCAAAGTGCGGACCCCCCCAGGCAACACAGTCACCACCTGGCCCCCCGCCTGCAACATGTGCTTTGGGATTATGATCTTGGTGATGGTCTGGGCCGGGGGTACTGCAGCTGCTGGAGAAGTAGCTTTGTTTGCCCCCGTGCGGGATCGCGTGGTCATCTCCGGGACGTCCAGGATGATGTTGGAGGCACAAATGTTGGTGATGGTGTTCTCTTCCAGGCTGTTGTTAGCTGGGCGGATGGCCTGTTGACCAGCAGAGAGGAGGGCCGCAGGTGCCGTGTTGACCACCGGTGGAGGTGGTGAAGGCGCGGCCTCCATCTCCTCAGTGACAGGCTGCAGTGAAGACAGATTTAAAAAATGATATGAATAAATAAGTGAAAATCCTATACAGCTATGGTTGTATATGTAACTGGTTGTCCTTTAGGGGATGATCTCACCTGTGAGAGCTGGTTGGCTCTATAAGCTGCCAGTGCTTTCAAATACTCCCTTTTGGCTGCTTCTGTCTTTCTCTTATACACCTAATGGAGACAAAACAAGTACCACTATTGTAAATAATTTGTCTGTACGTTATCACCAATAATTGTTCTCCCCTGAAACTGACACTGGATATTCATATACTGCATATAAGCGTGTGTTCTTCTACCTGTTTCTGTTCCTCAGCCAGGCTGTCCCACATAGAGGCCACTATCTTTGACACCTCCCCAAAAGAGGCGTTGGGGTTCTGGCCCTTAATGGCTGCCTGGGTGTCTCTGAAGAACAAGGCGTACGCTGAAACGGGCTTCTGTGGTTCATTCGGGTCTTTTTTCTTCCGTCCTTTCTTAGCGCCCACCGCCCCAGTCACTGAGGCCAGCGCGGCCGGCCTACCCCCGCCCCTCCTGGCCGTAGCCGGGGACACGGACGACGTATGGAGTGGGTGGGAGGACATGTGGGAGAGGGCAGAGGAAGAGGAGAGAGACATGGGGGAGTCGACCAGCACACTCCTCTGAATAGGGAGAGGGGAAACGTTGGGGAGGATAGAAGACATATTAGCTTCAGGATCTAAAACACAGCATGGAATTCAGAATTCATTCATACAAGAATGCAACACTGACGTAACCCCTCACCTTGAAGTCATCCATGTCTTCATCCTGGAGAGAGCCGGCTGGCGATGGCGTTGCAGACAGCGGCTGCTCAGGTGTCTCTGAATGATGCCTAATGTTTTCGCCCCCGAGACCCATTGCCAGCTCAGTCTGGTTTATAGTGGACAGGTGACTGCTTCCCAAAAGACCATGACCGATGTCTCCAAGCTGGACATCAATGGTCATGGGGGACGAACTGCTGAAATGGGAACCACTGGAATTCCCCAGTTCCTGCAGAGGGATTAAAACACAAAAAGTTGCCAACAGCTCTAAACTGCACTCCTGAACAACCAACATTTAAACACACCAAACATCACTGTGTGTGAGGGTCCACAGGTAGAGCGCTCACCAGTGCAGAGGAGCTCAGCAGGGCTCCCCCTCCGGTCTGGCCCATTCCGCCCAAGTTCAGCTGCTCCAGGCCTTGAGAACCAGAGTTCACAAAGGTGGAGGCGAAGGAAGGGTCATTGGCCTCAACCACCAGGTTGCTCACTAGGCTACGGGAAGCCGAAGGTCCCCCGGTGCCCTCTGACCCATCAGTCAACTCAAAGTGGGACACTGCATCACTGATGCTCAGAGTCGGGTCTGGATCAAGGGAGATGGGGGGAATCTCAAAAACCTCATCCCCGAGACTGGGAGTATGGAATGTCTGCTGTATGTGGAGAAAGAGACAGAATAACGGGTCAGTCCATCATGACGGGAAACGCGTGTAAAGGTCAAAACAATGTGCACTAGCATGTTTGAATGAACTCACCTCAGCGGACAAGAAAGGGTGGCCTGCCCCACTGATGGTGAGATAGCTGTCGCTGCCTTCTGGAAACTGAAACAGACAGTGAACATTCAACCAACTCAGCGACTTCCACAATTTAAAGCTGATCTTTCCTGATAAATACGCATTCATGTTAACTTACCTTATTTTCCTCTGAGTATCCCCCATAAGCTCGGGTGTCCAAAAACTCAGGATCAACATTTTGAGCACAACCATCCGACAGGTCAGAGTAAAAATTAAGATCCATTTTAAAACTCTGTACTCTAAACAAACTATCACACACGCTGTAAACTTTGTTCAAAGTGCGAATGTCTTATTTTCCTTTCCATTTAGATCAGCTATCCCAACATTAACAAAAGCTGCTAGCGGCTAGCTAGCTAGCTAGCTAATCACTGTTAGCATAACGTTAAAGTCGAGTGGCTGATGCTAAGCTACGTTAGCTCTCAAGCCCTATGGAGAGGTGGGACAGGGGGGGGAGACTTGAGGTTGATAATAGCCACAAAATCACAATGTTAGAAATATCATGTGTGCGCTCCCCGGGGCGCTAAGCTCACTGAAGCCCGACACAAGCCCATTCATCCGCTGGTGTGACGCTAGCACCATGTCCCCACCGGACGCTACAGCTAGTGTTGGGTTCAGGGGCTGTCGGGAAATTGTAACATTACTCCAATCATTTAGCGGCACCTATCTGCCAGTTATGTGACGTGCTATAACGTGACGTTTAACAAATAGCATGGTAGTTTCAGCCAGCCTAAGTATAAGTTGTATTTACGACCAATTTAAACAGCCGGTTAACGTTAGATGTCAGATGCACTTGTTTCCACTCGTTTGAAGTATGACGTGAAGCAGCAGCCATCAGACAGACAATCTACTTGGACGAGCAAACAAAGAGGCCTGAAGGCAGCAGTGCTTTCCACTGCAAACAGAAATTAAACTCATCGATTCAACTGTCCTCAACTGGGAGTCCCACATGGACGGTTATGTGTGATAAACTTAACTTTAACTACAAAACATTACTTAGCACTTACTTTAACTCACTTCTAGCTGAAACAGTTGAATGGAAGCACTGTATTTTTGAGTTTAACTCTTCAAAGACTGAAAGCAACAGCCAGCAGTCATCAGTCAGAAGCTGTTGCAACAGGTTTATAATGTAAACTAGACATTTAATAAACTTTAACTGTGTAAATTTAAGATGGTTGTGACCTTCAAATGACCACATCAATGCTTGCTGGCATTTATTTAACACAACTATGATATATTATTATCAGGCATTCATTTTCTATTTATATATCCCTTTTGTGAACAACATTTAAGTTAAATCAAACAAGATGTGCCTGTTTTGTAGTGCATAAGGCCTGCTTCTCCCCCCTAACCAGACCTCTTCACCTCTCCCACTGTCGTCATGCAGGGGGGTTAGGCAAGTGCTTGATTGTTTTAAGGCTTCAGCATGACTATGAATGAAGACTGACACTTTCCACAGAGACGAGACTGTTTCTTCCTGTTACAGCTTAATTTACCTGACACTCTGTAATGGGTTAGATTAATGGCTGATTCTTAGCAACAGTATAACCTAATGTATGCAGGACTGATTCAATATTTTCAAACTACCTCAGTTTTAACACTCCTCCATCTAATGTGCTTTGTATTGTTTATCATTCTTGTATCAGGACACGCATCATACATTAGAACTTACTGAACAGCTGATACTTATCACAGATTGGACTTAATGTACTTGTATATATCACAAATACTAATTAGTCTGACAGGCACAGAAATTTAGACACAAGAATGTGTTCAGTCTGCAAATATTAAAATCATTTGACAGAGTTGATTCTGAAAATTAAAGAAGATTCTTGAACTTACTAAATAATTTGATGTTATACTGTTCCTATCTAGTACTATTACATACTTCATAGGCCTGTTGTAAATGTGGACAGTAATGTACTAATTACCAATTTAAACCCTTATGCATTATTGACTAAGTAGGACTCAATTATTAAAACAGAAAAGTACATAAACAATCTTGCTTCTGCTCGATGTTAGTCACAATAATACACACAAACTTGCTTTCACTGTAGATTGCTGTTATTCATTTCACAGATACACTCAGATCATAAAACAAGAATAGTAACTCATTGCCGTCATCTTTGCACCATAGTACACAATTGACCAGCTCTACATTGTACAATACAACCATCCTCCTAGCACTGCTTCAGTAACTAATACGCCACTTTCCCTTTCCCTCTCCCTCCCTCTCAACCCCCACCCCTCCCATAGAGTGAAAACAATAACAGTACATCCACACACTGGATCCCCTTTTAGTTCACAGACTCGTCTGGACATACAAGATATGACCAAACAAGATTGGGGGGGTTTGGGGATCTTGATCCAGGCTCTGCTCAGTACACATGTCCAGTTTCATGTAACGCTAGAGGACCAGCATTGAGGTTCTTAGATAAGAAAAGGGTATCTGTACAGCAGGGGTCCCCTTTTGGTCATGGCTGGGAATGTGATGGGAACGAATAGGTTTGGAGGATAAGGAGGAGAATGACGAGTCGTGAAGTAAGAAAGCTCAGCTTTTTGCCATTTTGTCAGAGGTTAGAGAGGAGGATCGAGGAGACAAAGATGGAACACAATTGTGATGATGAAAAAGAAAACAGATGGGTGCAAACCTGCTCCTTTCATGGAAAATATCCCTATATAAAATAAATGAATAAAAGTAGCAACAAAAAAAAACACATTCATCAATAATTTGATACATAATATGGTAAAAATAAATGATGAGGAATAACATGATTCATTGTTGAGAAGGGGAATAAGTCAAATGTGTTTGGAGAGAGGAGTTCAGTCAATCCTCTGAGCTTGATGAGGAGTCTGAGTCCTTCTGTGCTATGATGACATCGTCCAATAGTGCCTCTTGATCCGAGCTGTCATAGTCACCTTGGGAAAGGCTGTCGCCGCCCTCCATTTTAACGTCAAAGTCTGCACTGGTGAGGAAGTGATGGGAGGTCTCCAGGTCCTCCTCGTCCATCATGTAGGCTCCGTCTGAGACCAGAGTCTCCTCTTCTACCCCATCAAGGTTGGGGTCCTCAGGGGTGGGATCTGGAGCGTGGTGATGATGGTGGTGGTGGTGGTGATGGCGGCGTCGGCTTTTCTTCGGGATCTCCGAGTGCTCGGTCAGCAGTCGGTGAAAGTGGGACTCAGGCAGGAAGCCCTGTGAGTAGAATACATATTATTAGAAAGTCTATTATGAAAAAAAGGGATGGGATGTATTTTTACAGAGTTTCTGGCAACCACAGTTTTGTAGTATTAAAGAGCCAAATTTATCAATCAGGGAGAGAAACATTTTTCTTTTTAAAATATTTTTTGGGGGCTTTTATTGCCTTTAATTGATAGTGACAGCTGAAGAGTGATGGGAAAGGGC